CTATACCTATTGGTTGTTTGATCATGAGATTGGTTTATTGAACCCTAAAGCTTTGATTGATGATATGTTGTGTTAGAGAGCTCAACTAGAAAATATGTATTAGATGATAATGCCTTAGAATGATGTATTAAAGCTAGAATTGCAATGAAAATTTTAGGTGAAAAATGTTGAATTTTAACTTAGAAGAATTTTGGTGATCATGACTTTGAAGTTTGGAATTTTGTTGGGAATTAATTAATGAGTTGTTGTATGATTATATGATGATATAATAGGATTGTATGAGGTGAGAAAGGGTTAAAATTGATTGAAAATCCCTTGGAGTACTATAGGTTGCCGTTCGGCCATTAAGTGAAAAAGAGGGGAATTGATGTTGAAAAATTATTTGGATGATTTTTTGTGTAATTATATGGTGATTAGATGGGTTGTGTGGTGGTTGGAAAGTGTTAGAATCAATGGAAAATAATAACTTGTGTTTAGGGACATAAATGAACCTAGAGTGAATTATTTAGCAAAACATTGAGTAAAAGACGTAAAACGGAAAAACGACACTTGAATTGGCCTCTTGGCAACCTAAGGAAGAATAATAAAATGAGAAAGAAAATTTAGAAAAATAAATCCTAAAATAACACTTCAAGGGCCGAACCATCATGGTGATGGGAAGGATTTTTGTGTTTTTTTCGCGTTTTGACGTAAATTGACGTATACTGACGGCTGTACATGGTTGTATAGGTTGTCGTACGTCGACTTGAATCTTGAACAGTGAAACAGTGAATTGTCCTTGGTCCTGGACCAAGTGGATTGAGGTAAGTGATTGTATTATGTATGTGAAATTGAGAATTGGCATGCATTTTGTGAACTTTGAGTAAGTGGGAACGTCCTATGTGTAGGCGTTCTGTTGAGTAGCAGACTTGGAACTTAAGCTGCTGCGGAGCTAAGTGAGAAAACTATTTAAGGTAACCTCTTGGTACTGTGGCTTGTTCCCCTTTTCTGTTCCACCTTGCCAGTTGATGGCAACGGTAAGAAGTGTATATGAGTAGTGTAGAACACATGAGCATGCATGCATTATTACAGTGGGTACTTATGTACCGAGTCTCTGGCCAGTAGACAGTTTTTAGCCTTCGGGCAATTTCAGACTTCCACTGGATAGGTCTCCGAGAGGGAGTTCTAGTTGACCGAGGGTCATGGTGTGTGATCCGGGTTTGTGGACCCTAGAGTGATGAAGTTGAACTTCTGTTTTAATTAAACTAAGTCAGAATCAAGTGATTAAGGACTTATGGCTTGGTATAGAGCCTTAAGACGTTAAACGTATGGAAAGACGTTGTCTTTAATTTGTATGCATGTGGTACATGTTATTGATTTATATTTGGTCCATATCAGATTGTGATCTGCCGTGATTGGACTTTGAGCTTGTGGCATTGGATAGCTAGCTTAGAGGTAAGCTTTCGTGTCCTCGGTTTAGCCATGTTGTGGTTCCACCATGTCCCATGGGGGTATGGTTTATGCATGCTGTGTACATGCTTTTGGATATTTGATATGTTGATTGAACTTTACATGTAATGGCTTTTAATATGCATGTGTTGTTTCATCTTGACGGGAAGCCTGAGTATGTAGCGCCATACAAGACGGTGTACCGGGATGAATGCAAGTGGTACTTGCACGGTGTGTAGGTGATAGACGTATACCTGCACTGTCTCTGGCCAGTAGATTAGAATTGACACACATGGCATGATTATCTGCTGCATTGCATCGTTTTAGAAATGATAAATGATATACTGCTTTTGGACTTATATTGCACATGTAAGTGAGCTTGGGGTGGAAAATCCTTGAGGACTCACTGACTTGCTAAGATTTCTAGATTAGAGATCTTACCCCACCTTTGGAGAATGCTTATTTCAGGATCAGATAGTATGGGTACTGATGCCTCAGGCGGTAGGAGGCAGGAGCTTAGCTGATTATGTTTTACTGCTTTATGTTAGCATGACTGGATTTGGATGCTGTTTATGTTTTCCGCTATTTATGATATGTTGTTGTTGAGACTGATGTTGGGCATGTTGCCTTATTTGAGTGAGCATGGGGATTGTCCATGACACTTTCTGTTAGTACTTTTAGATTGGAGTTGTATAAACTGTTAGATGGTTTGGTCTACATTGTTGTAGTTCCGTGACTAGAGCCACATTTATATGATCTATGTTATGGGGTATTTCAGTTAGCTGTTTTATTGCAATTACATACAAGCGATGTTTTATTAATTGATTATTAAGCAAGTTGGTAATGTTAATGGCATCATAATTGAAAAGAAAAAAGAAATTCCGCATTTTTAATTAAGCGCAGCTTAATACGATATTATGATAACATTACCGGATATATACAGGGTGTTACAAACTCGGTCCCAATCGTGACAAGTTGTCTGCCAAATCCCACAAATGTGTGTTCCTCGGTTACACCCGGACACAAAAAGGTTATCGGTGTTACTCTCCTAGTCTCCATCGTTCTTTTGTCTCGGCGGATGTTACTTTCTTTGAGTCTTTGCCATTTTTTGGCTCCACCTCCGTTCCCGATGACTCTGTTGATACTCAACTACCTTTACTTTCTGTTCCAATTCAATATGTTCCGGCACCAGATTCTACACCACCACCGCCTACACCAGATTCCACACCACCACCGCCTATTGTCACTTCTCCATATGTCCCAGCACCAGATCCTCCTCTCCAGATTTATCATCGTCGGCCATATCCACCCATACCCCAAGACATTGATGAGGTTCCTATGGACTCAGATCTGCCGTCATCAACTCCTGCGGTTTCGGTCCCGCCCTCTGAAATTGACCTACCCATTGCTCTCCGAAAAAGTACTCGTAATATTCGTCCTCCACCCAGGTATTCAATAAATATGAGTTATCATCGCCTTTCTCCATCACTTTTTGCTTGTCTTTCTTCTTTGTCTTCTGTATCTGTTCCTAAGACTACAGGTGAGGCATTATCTCATCCCGGATGGCGACAGGCTATGATTGACGAGATGTGTGCACTTCATGGCAGTGGTACTTGGGATCTGGTTCCTCTTCCCTCTGGAAAATCTGTTGTTGGATGTAGATGGATATTTACTGTCAAGGTTGGTCCTGATGGACAACTGGATCGTCTCAAAGCACGTTTGGTGGCCAAAGGATATACTCAGGTGTTTGGTGAAGATTATGGAGATACATTTTCCCCTATGGCAAAAATGGCGTCTGTTTGCATCTTTATTACTATGGCTGCTATTCGTCACTGGCCCCTTTATCAACTGGATGTCAAAAATGCTTTCCTCAATGATGATCTTGCGGAAGAAGTTTATATGGAGCAACCTTCTGGATTTGTTGCTCAGGGGGAGTCCAGTCTAATTTGTCGACTCCGCAAATCTTTGTATGGTCTCAAACAGTCTCCACGAGCTTGGTTTGAGAGGTTTAGCACCATTGTCCAGCAGTTTGGTATGACTCGGAGTGCAGCTGATCACTCAGTCTTTTATCGCCACTCAGACTCTGGATCTATTTATTTGGTGGTATATGTTGATGACATTGTCATTACAGGCGATGACCATCAAGGCATTACTCAGTTAAAACAACATCTCAGTCATCATTTTCAGACAAAGGATCTTGGAAGACTACAATATTTCTTGGGAATTGAAGTGGCTCAATCCAAGGATGGTATTGTGATATCCCAGAGGAAATATGCTATGGACATTCTAGAGGGGACAACTTTGTTGAATGCTAAGCCCGTCGATACCCCCATGGATCCAAATGTCAAGCTTATGCCAAATCAGGGGAAGCTATTTTCAGATCCAGAAAGGTATAGAAGATTGGTTGGGAAGCTGAACTATCTTACAGTTACTCGACCAGACATCTCATTTGCAGTCAGTGTAGTAAGTCAGTTCTTGAATTCTTCTTGTGAAGATCATTGGAATGCAGTGATCCGTATCCTCAAGTACATCAAGAATGCTCCAGGTAAAGGTCTCCTCTATACAAACAAAGGTCATACCAGAGTTGAGGGATACTCAGATGCTGATTGGGCAGGTTCCCCCAGTGATAGAAGATCCACATCTGGGTATTGTGTATTCCTTGGAGGTAACTTGGTTTCTTGGAAAAACAAGAAACAAAGTGTAGTTGCCAGATCAAGTGCTGAAGCAGAATATCGCTCCATGGCCACAACCACCTGTGAACTTATCTGGTTAAAACAATTATTGAAGGAACTCAAATTTGGAGACATTGGCACAACATATCTCATTTGCGATAATCAAGCTGCTTTACATATTGCTTCTAATCTAGTGTTTCATGAAAGGACCAAGCACATTGAGATAGATTGTCACTTTGTTAGAGAAAAAGTCCTCTCTGGAGATATAGTCACTAGTTTTGTTAACTCAACTGATCAATTAGCTGATGTTTTCACTAAGTCTTTGAGAGGGCCTAGAATAGATCACTTATGTAACAAGCTTGGTGCATATGATTTATATGCTCCAGCTTGAGGGAGAGTGTTGTATATAATAGTTTAGAATAGTAGTATAGAAGTCTCACATCATGTATATCTCTTTGTATTTTCTTTCTTTTGAGTTATATAATAATCTCTCCGTTGTGTAGTTGAGACACACGGATTACTTATAAATCTCGTTGTTCTTGATATTCAACAGTTCGTAATAAGGTGTTGATGATTGTAGTTCATTTCCATTATATAAAAAGAGTCACTGAGGTATTTCAGTAAATAGTGGTTGCTTTTCAATTGTTACTGTTTCTGCCATTTATATTGATTCTGTAGAGATCCATAGCTAGCTTTCCCCAGGTACCATCACAACCTAGCAACTTCTACAAGCTTGACATTGATATAGCTACGAGGGAGAGATATGAAAAATAGGAAAAATCACGGGCAAGACTTAATGTTTCCGATATAGTTGCCGGTATACTAGGCCAACGAAATCCAGATGCTAAATGCTTGTGCTGGAAAATAATTTTATGTTGTCAGATGAACTTTGGACTTGAAATGGGAGCAGCAGGCTTGTGGTTGACCTCAAAGTTGATGCCTTCTAGCGATGATGATGTGGTTATTTCACCTCCTGGCTTGGTAATTTGGAGGAAATGGATTTCTAGTCAATCGGACATTTATCCTACCTGCTGCCTGTCTGTAGTTAGGGATACAGCATTTGGTAGTCTAGATGAGGCTGTGTCCGGGGCAAGTGCAGTTTTGTTTCTTGTGTCTGAGAGCATTTCATGGAAACTTCAGAGAGTTCATCTTCATAATCTTCTGATGCCAATTCCCTCTGGGGCTTGCTTGCCTCTTCTGATCTTATGTGGCTCATGTGACAACGGTTTCTCTTCTGTTATAATTAATGAGCTGGGCCTTCAAGACATTGACAAATTTCGGGTTAGTAGCTTTCTGGTTGTTTTTCTTGGTGAAAACCAGCAGATGGAACACTTGGGTGGGTTTTTCAGTGATACACGATTAAGGGAGGGGCTGCAATGGTTGACAGGTGAATCACCCTTGCAACCCAACCTTCACGGTGTGAAAATACGAGAACTTGTTCACACACATCTAAATTCCTTCTCAGGGGTGCATGACATCATCAGAAACTCCAATTTGGGTCCTAATGACTGTATCTCATTGTTCAATGAAGCCTTAGATTGCTCAGCGCAGGAAATTATTGCTGCTGCCAGTTCAAATCCTGTTGGTTGGCCATGTCCAGAGATTGGTTTACTTGACAAGTCTTGTGATGAATATATAGTAGTAGAAAGGTTCTTGCCAACTTTGGGATGGAGCTCAAATGTGAAATCTGAACCAATTATTTGTGCTTTGCAAAACTGTAAGCTCCCTACTTTTCCCTATGATTTATCCTGGTTGGCCAGAGGTTCTAAAGTTGGACCTGAGATTGAGAACCAGAGGATACAGCTTGAAAATTGCTTGATCCAGTACCTGACTCATACTAGTAAGATAATGGGAATTTCATTCGCAACAAAAGAGGCGAGTATCACAGTGCAAACCTGTGCCAAACTTGAGCTTTGTGGCTCAAGCTATTGTGTAGTTCCACATTGGGTCATGGTGTTTCGTCGCATTTTCAACTGGCGATTAATGAGTTTATCTAGTAAAGAAATCTCCATGGCTTACATCTCAGAATTTCATCATGTTTCTCTTCCAAATATGGACTTGGATGCATGTTTATCTTCATCTTATTATCCGAACTCATCTTTAGATGAATTAATCAGTGTTAGCTGCAACTCTCCTCTTCCTGTTAATGGTCAATCAAGGCCTGAAGCACTTCAACCTCTTCCACACAGGGATTCAAATGATGTATTTCATGAGAATGTTAACCTGAAGGATGCTGAAAGCAATCTTCGACTTGATAAATATCCTAGCATAGATACACCTTTCTCACATGCTTTAAACAATGCTACTAATAGTGGAGCATCAATGAATGGGAAACCAACCAAAGAAGCTGACAAGTTAAGCAAGCTGTTGGAGCCATGTAACCTGGTGCAGGATGACATAGATAAGAAGCTGTCTATATACTTCTAATGGGCACACCCCTTTTCTATGTTGTATTTTTGTATGTGTATGTTGATAGGAAATTGTAAATATAACAAGTGTTTTTGTTGTTATTTCGTTTCCCCTTGTCTCTGAGCTCACAAATATTGGGAAGGAGTTAATGCTTAATCAGCCAAGAGAAACATGACATGGAATTGAAACATGCATTTAATTTCATGTAGCAGTGATGGTATAGATGATGATGTCAATGACGGCGAGATGTTCCTGAAATATGAAAAATGACCTTGATTTCATCTTTTAAAAATTCATCAATTTAATCTCAATAAAAAAAGTGATATCAAACACCTCTTTAATTATAGAAAGTTGGCATTGATCCATGTCTATTAGTAATGGAAAATAACATTAATTTAGTCTCTTAATCTCCCTAAGAAAAAAAGATTTTGATGTTACTTATATGATAAAACACTAAATTAATATTATTTGCCTTTCAAGAATGAAAGCAGTGTCAACTCAACTTTTTAATAATTAAAATGAATGTCTACTCTTTGATTATTTAATTTATCCAATCTTGTGACATCCTTTCCCTTCAAGTCATGTATATATATGGAAGAAGTGTATAATTAAAAATATTATTAGGATAATATTTTTATCTGATATCATTTACATATTTTTTTATTACTATTATCCAATATATGCATCAAACTTTTTTTTTTTTGTAAACTATGCATCGAACATTTTACTTATGCATATTAGATAACTTATTCTATAAATAGCACGTTAAAAAATAGTTCATAACGATACATAAGAGAAAAATATATGAATATGAAAGATTTCATATTTAGCATTACAATGAAAAGAGTTATTAAAAAAAAAAAGTAATTAGAAAGAATGGATTCTTCATATAAAATTTTTTATATGATGTCCCATGTTTATTAGTACATTAATTATCTTGTGTTCTCAATATTATTTCCATGCTTTCCGAAAGGCGTGGGATGCCCATGGCATGTCATATTTTCATACGTAAAATATTATATAAACTTACGAAACATGTTATATTATATTCTGGCTGTGCATGAACAATTTTTCCAGAATTATTATTTTTTAATTTTTGTTCAGGAGAAATGGATAAAAAAACCCGTTTGGTAAAATCGATTTATTTTTTTGTTCTTGAATGAACTGGTCTAATTTTTGTGCTAGGGAACATAAAAAAGAATCAAATTTTTTTTGTTCACGGGCACAAAATGAGAAACATTTGTCTCTCTTAATCACTCTCCACTTCTACCATCACCACCACCACCATCATCCCGGCACGACCATCGCCACCATCGTCGTCGTTGTCACCACCACCACGATACCACTGCCACCATCACCACCGCCTCCATCCATCTCTAACATAATGCTACCGTCACTACCACCATCACCACTACCATCATGATCGCCGCCACCATCATCACCAACCACCACCACCCATTCGCAGCCACTGTCGCCATCACCACCACTACCACTACCATCACTACAGCCAATGTTGTCACCACCACCTATGCCTTCACCATCACCATGCCACTGCCACCTCCACCATCGCCATCGCCATCGCCATCGCCGCTGCCACCACCATCATCGTCGCAGCTACTGTCGTCACCACCATTACAACGCCATCACCACCACTACCATACCACCACCATTGCTGCCACTATCATGCCACCACCACCACCACCACCATCGTTATAGTCACTGCTGCCACCACCACCACTACCACTACCACCATGCTACCACCGTCACCACCACAACCACCATATAGAAAGAAAAGTGATGATCTAAATTTTTTTTTATGTTTAATAGAAATTATTTTTTATTATATTATTTGTTGTATTATCAAACACAATTCTCAATTTTGAAATAAAAATAGAACATGTTATCAAACACATTTTTTTCCTCAGAAATTTTTTCAAGGCATAGAAATAGAAAAGAATTGTTTCTTTTCAGAAACAGTGCCAGGAAGAAGAATGGTTTTCATGCTGGAGCACGATCCATGCCTTGTGGAGTGAAACTATAGACACATCGGTGGGATTCATAGGTAAACAAAACAAATTGAGGGAAGACATGACATGAGAAAGGACTCTTATATTGCATATTTGCATTGCATTTAATGAGTTTTTAAATGCTTTAAAAACAATTTAATTAAGGAAAATTTTTATTTTTACCCATTGTGGTTTTATGGTTTATCACTTGACCTCAAGTTGTTATAAGTTGGAATCATTTTACACCAGTTACACTCTTATTTTATTTATATATAACGATTTTGATTTATTACATATTTGAGCTGTTAGATACATGCAAATTAATGACTAAGATTTGTAAGCATGTGACACCATTGATATTTTTTGATCTAATGGCTCTCAGATAAGATGTCAAACTTTAAATTTGACACCGGTATCAAAGGATCCACACACACACACACACACACACACACACACACACACACACACACACACACACACAACACACACACACACACACACACATTTATTTTTACTCACACACACACACACACACACACACACACACACACACAATAAGCAAAATCTTATATCAAATCCTAACCATTGATTTGCTTGCATCTAATGGTTCACATATCTAATAAACCAGAGTCGTTAGATATAAATAGGATCAACGGCCAAGATTGAGAGTGTAACTTACACTGGTTTAAAATGATCCTGACTCATATATATATATATATATATATATATATATATATATATATATATATATATATGGCTTAGTGGATATCCTTTAAAAGGATACAAGATGTGTCCTTTTAGTGAGTTACACAAAGTTTGACCAGTCACACTTTGTGTAAATCTGAAAAGTTTTTGTTTTTTGTTTTTACTTTACACGTCAGCGATGTGAGTGGAGAGAGAGAATAAAAAGTAATTTTTTCAGATTTACATAAAGTCTTATCGATCAGATTTTGTGTAAATCACCTAAAAGGACACAAGCTTCTATCCGTTAAAAGGATACTTCTTTTTCTTATATATATATATATATATATATATATATGGAGAAGGATCCATTTACAATTTTTTTTTCAAGTTTTTGCAAATTACTCTATGTACTCCCGGGAGAACATAGTGTTCTCCCGGGAGTACATAGTGTAGTTTGTAAACAAAAAGTTAATAAATATAACCCCCCCCACACACATATATATATATATATATATATATATATATATGAGTTCGCTTTTTCTGCAATCACTGCAGTAAGCCCAATACGACGTCGCTTTGGGGCGGAAATCATGGTTCTTTTGTAATTTTAATTTATTTCAAGATTATTATAGTCTTTATAATTATAATTTTTTAATTATTCAATCTCAAAACGACGTTGTTTTAGGAATAAATGCAGATAACTTATCTGCAGTAACAATATTTTTCTGTATATATATATAGGGAATGATCCGTTTACAAACTTTTTTTACAAATTTTGCAAATTACACTATGTACTCCTGGGAGAACATAGTGTAACTTAGTGTTCTCCCGGGAGTACATAGTGTAGTTTGTAAACAAAAAATTTGTAAATATAATCCTCCCTTATATATATATATATATATATATATATATATAGAAAAAAAATGTGTATCATTTTAAAGGATGTAAAGTTGTGTCATTTTAAGTGAGAGAAAGAGATAGATAAAAGAGGAGAGAGAGTGGACAAAAAAATATAAAGGTATGGGTCCCACTTCTTTGTGAGAGTGAAATGATATAAGTTGTGTCATTTAAAAGTATAAACACTTTTCCTATATATATATATATGGGTTTAGTGAGTGTACAATGATTGGATGTAAAAATTGGTCCAGTGCACTATGTTCTCCCGCGAGAACACAGTTATAGTAAAATTAGAACTATGTTCTCCCGGGAGAACACCATTGTAATATTTTAAAATTATAACTATGTTCTCGCGGGAGAACATAGTGCACTGGACCGTCCAGTCACTTTATTTTCATTTTTTCATATATATATATATGTGTGTGTGTGTGTATGTGTGTGTGTGTGTGGGGAAAAGTGTATATCATTTTGAAAGACACAAAATTATGTCAATTTAAGTGAGAGAAAAAGATAAATAATGGGAGAGAGAATGGATGAGAAAACTTTTAAATATGTGGGACCCTCCTCTTTGTGAGAGTGAAAAGATATAAGACGTGTCATTAAAATGACATACATTTTCCCCATATATATATTAAGTCACAATTTTTTATAATTTTTTAATATACTGTAAAACAATATTTTAAATAAAGTATACTGAGATAACGAAGATAAAGTTTTGAAAGTATTCAAAACTGTGAGAGATTAATTTACTACATTTTTTTCTTTCTACCTCTTACTATCAAATCTTAACCGTTGATTTTCATCAATCTAATAATTTTAATTTATTGGAAATTAATAATTAATTAATAAATATGACCCAATAAATTACAACTGTTAGATTGACGAAAATCAACGGTTAAGATTTAGTAGTAAGAAGTAGTAAGAAAAAGAGGTAAAAACTATAACCTCCCCTTCAAAACTTGATAAGAATAAAATAAAAGGGTTTAAACTCGTAGATAAAAATTAAACATGCTTCCTTAGTAAATTAATTTTATTGAAAAAAAAACATAAAAATCCGTCATTTTCCTTCCATCCTCGTGACAATTTGGAGTTTATTTTACAAAGATACTGAAACAGAAAAGCGAAGATTATGAATTACAACCGTTAGATTGGCAAAAATCAATTGTTAAGATTCAGTAGTAAGAAGTAGTAAAAAAAATAGGTAGTAACTATAACCTCCCCCTTCAAAACTTGATAAGAATAAAACAAGAGGGTTTAAACTCGTAGATAAAAATTAAACATGCTTCCCTAGTAAATTAATTTTATTTAAAAAAAAACATAAAAAGGCATCCGTCATTTTCCTTCCATCCTCATGACAATTTGGAGTTTATTTTACATAGACACTGAAACAGAAAAACATAAATTATGAATTATAACCGTTAAATTGACGGA